CAGAGGGCTTGGGGTGGGGGGAGGTGTCAGAGAGGAAAGAAATGAGTAGAACGGTGTTGCTTTCTCTTTTCCACAATGATTTTTTTCCCTTAAACGGTTGGTTCGTGAATTGACCAAAATAAAATCTTACTTGCCCCAAGGCTAGATAGATAGATAGGTAGATAGGTAGATAGATAGATAGATAGATAGATAAAGTAAATAAATAGCCCTCCTGCCTCTACAAAGCAATCTGGATTCCCTTTGCTTCCACACCAGGGCCCTTATAACCACCACAATGTGAACAAAGTCCATTAAATGCTTTCGGAAGATAACTCCCAACCGATCATTTTCTCCAAAGGTGACGGGCCTGTACTTCTGTCTAGCCGAGCTATTTGACCCGTCTGTTTCTCCTGGCTGCAATCTGTCTCCATACAGGAATTTTTCACTCCCCTCCAAATGCAATGTCATGCAGAAGACTCAAAGGGGAAGGTAAAAGGATTAGGAGATGGATCGATGGCAGATATTAATGCCCTTTTATGTTGGGTTGAAGAAGGATTTGAGGTCATCAGGAGAGAGGGTAGCAAGAGAATAGACCTCAAGTATTCAAAAGACTCTCTGGATTAAAATCCTATTAAACTCACACCACTTTCTCCAGGAGGCATTTTTAGAAGGTTGGGGCTTATTTTTAACTCGTCACTGTAATTAACCTTCTTCCCTTAAGCTGTTTTGGGTGGGGAATTTTTTTTTAGCAATTAAGAAACCGAAAAGTTTCATTTTCTATCACTCACACGGCCCTTTGAATGGTTTAAAAACCACAGTGACAAGTGGTTTGGCCTAACTGACTGGAGGGGCTCAGACCTCCCACTCCAACCTGCTGTCAGACTCGCCCCTGAGAGCTGAGCCCCTCCCCCCCAGAAAGGGCATTTTGTGGAGTGAAAAGAATCAAAGGTTCAGATCTACCACGATGCCTTCCTTCCTGTGGTCACCCTCCCACTGGGTTCCACAGAAAGAGCAACTGGGCAACGGTGATTGTTCACCCTAGAAAAGATCTGTTTCTGGGCCCTGACTTCTTCACCAAAACTACCCAGACGCCCAAGGGGCCTGTCTTTCTCCGCAGGTGTGAAGTTGTGCTGTTTCCGCATCACCTGCATCCCTCGCCGCTGTTCTGTTAATGAGAAGTCAAGGTCAGAAGCCATGTCAGGTAGGGGCAGCCAGGATGGGGTGGAGTGACCGAGCATCTGTACTAATATGGTCCCCAAACCCTTATTTTAAATGGTTAGTCTTAGCAGTCTTTCCTCCTCCATGAGGTAGAATGTTAGCTCCGCTTCAAATCTCAATGCCCTGCCCTTTTGAGCCCTGCAAGGGAATAGAACCTGCGCTACATTCAGCCTCTGATAAGCCCAACACTGACGACATGATTCCTCTGTGTGAAAACATTGATTTTTTTCACTTCTTTAAAAATTTCATTTTATTTTTAGAGTGAGAGGGAGAAAGAGAGGGAGAGAGCCAGTGATGTGAGAGAGAAACATTGACCGGGTTGCCTCTCATAAGCACCCTGACCGGGGACCAAGCCAGCAACTGAGGCATGTGCCCCTACCGGGAATCGAACCTGGTGACCTATCACTTTATGAGATGACACCCGACCAAATGAGCCACAGCAGCCAGGATGGCTTTTTCATTGTTACACTTGCCCGGTCCCCAAGTGAAACAGTGGAGAAGAGACCCAATTCCATCAGCCATGTCTCCATTGCAACACCTGTCCCTCTACTGTATCCACCTGAGTGGCAGCCTGTGTGCTTCTTAAGGACAGGCAGTGTGACCCTCTCTTCCCCGCAGCTCCCAGCACGGTGCCTGGCCCAAAGCATCACTCGACACACGCTCACCCACCATCGCACAGAATCCACTCCCTGCCTTACAGCAAGTCATGGCCTCTGTTTTTTACAATAAAAAATTAAGGAACCTGTTGGGCTGCATGAACACTGAGGCCATTTTCTAGTTCTTAGAATCCCTGAAAAAGTAGTTGTGTGTAGGCTGGCATTTCGTGGCCGTTATTTATAGCAATCGTGATAATGGTCCAAAGAGAGAACATCTATTAAGCTCTTGAACACGCTCTGCACTGTTCTTAATGCTCCACTGCTGTTATTTCATTAATCCTATGAAACACATGGGAGTAACAAGTGTTACTGGGAGATTGTAAAGGTCAGCAATTTGCCCAAAGTTACACTAACTACGGTGTGCCCTGGTTTCAAAGTCTGGGCTCCTAACTATTCTTCCACGGCCCATTAACAACCTCCTTCTTGAGCCTCCAGTTCAGGCTGCCAGCCCTTCATCTGATCTACATACATCTTCCCTGGCTCCCCAAGGGGACACGGGCCTGCCTGTCAGTTGCTTTGATTTCCTACCCCAGGGCCCCAGCTGGCCAGGCCTCCACCTGCTCCAAGCAGAAGCAGAGCTTGGCCCCAGGTCCAGCAGGGCCTTTGTCCTGAGAGTCCGCAGCTCCTGTGGGGAGCAGGTGGCCAGAAAAGCAAAAGGAGACGATCATCTGGGAAGCAGCTTGGAAGGTGGAAGGGGGGCAGGCAGAGAGGGTTGATCTGAGGAGGAATTCCAAGTGCCCACCCCCAGTGACCTGAGCCCATGAGTGTGGCTGTACACCCTCGGCAGGGGCAGAGTCCTGCATGAAGTTCCTTGTATGGGTGACGGCCACAGGAGGCCAAGGGCAGAAAAAGAAGTGAGATCTCCCAGGAAGGCCTTAGAGGTATCTCTTACTAACTGTTTTCAATGGCTTGTGCTAAGAGATGGATCTTGCCTCGTTTTAAAGCATCTCTGCCTAGGAAAATGCTACTTTCAGCTACAGAGCCTGAAATCCTCTTGACCTAAAGTCTTTAGTGTTTTTACAAAAAAAAACCTTTGATTTTGTAATAAAACAATTTTTAAATTATTTAGGAAAAAATATTTCATCTCTGCAACGGCTCTCCTAGGTATTCATTCAAATGAGCTGAAAACTCAGGTCTACACAAAAACCTGCATGTGAATGTTCTAGCAGCATTGTTCATAATCACCACAATGTGGAAGCAACCAAAATGTCCTTCAACAGGCAAATGGATAAACAAATTGTGGTACATCCATGCAATGAACATTATCCAGCACTAAAAGGAAATGAGCTATTGAGTCACAAAAAGACATGAAAATGAAAGAAGCCAGTCTAGCCCTGGCTGGTATGTCTCAGTGGTTGAGTGCCAGCCTGTGAATCAAAAGGTCACCGGTTAGATTCCTAGTCAGGGCACATGCCTAGGTTGTGGGCCTGGTCCCCAGTAGGGGGCGCACGAGAGGCAATTGCACACTGATGTTTCTCTCCCTCTCTTTTTCTCTGCCTTCTCCTCTCTAAAAAAATAAAATAAAGAAACCAGTCTAAAAAAAGCTACATACCCTGATTCCAACGATATGACATTCTGGAAAAGTCAAAATCATGAAGACAGTAAAAAGAGCAGTGGTTGCAAGAGGGACCAAGTACAGAAAGAGACATCAATCAGTGGAGCGCAGGGCATCAGGGAGGCCATTGAATCCTCTACCTGAGGCTGTAATGATGCATACATGATCGTATCCATCATTGTCAATCACCATGTCATTGCCTGCATTTTTCAAAACCAAAAGAACCACACAATACAAAGCATGATCTCTAATGTAAATAATGGACTTTAGTTAATCATAACATGACACTATGGCTCATCAATTATAAAGAATGTAGCAGACTAATGCAGGATGTTAATAACAGGAGAAATTGGGGTGGGGTAGGGGCAGGAGAAAAAGGGCATGTGGGAACTCTCTATACTTTCCGCATAATTTTTTCTGTAAGCCTGAAACTGCTTTTACAAATAAAAAGCTTATTAAAATAGTTCATCTGGATATACTTTGCATCCTAAGAAAGCTATCACTTTGTTCCTCTGTATTCTTTTCAGGATAATAATAATAGTAACAACAACCACATACTATCATTTCTCCAGTCCAAGCACTGTTTATGTGTGATCTCATTTAACCCTCACAAAAACTCTATGAAAAACTGAGGTCAGAGCAGTTAAAAGGACTTGTCAGGGGTCTCAATGTCATTAAGTAGAAGAGGTAGGACTTGAACTGAAGTCTGTTCAACCCCAACCCACTTATAATGCCTGCACTGTATTGCTCCACGCCATTGCCTTACTGTTCAGGGGACATCCACGGGAAGCGTTTCAGCAGCTCCAGAAGGAAGCAGAGAGAGCAAGTCTTCACAACTCCTTGATTTAATCGTTCACTCCCAAATATTTGCTCAGCACTTGTGTTCTACACAGGGGGCTAAACTCCTAGGAGATATATATATATATATATATACTATATATATATCCTATATATATATATATATCTGCTGAGGGTCTTAGAGGTAGTAGTATATATATCATATCTATATATACTATATATATATATATCCTATATATATAGATATATATATAGTATATATATATATATATATATAGACTGCCCTTGCCTCTAAGACACTCCTAATGTGGTGGAAGGGACAGACAGAGAGGTGGACAATGACACTGGAAGCCCTGGGACAAGGCGGCAGGCAGTCTCCAGCGATGGAGCCAGCGGACTATGAGAAGAACGTGTGGTCAACCTCTGGCTGGAGTGGAGATAAGCACGGAATTTGTGTTGAAGTTGGTATCTACGTAGAAAGCACCCTGGACACTCTAACCACCCCGCCTCTGGAGGTAGGAGGTCAAGAGCATGACAATCCAAGGAGGAAAAATATATAAAAATCGCAGCAACAGAACAATAACAACCAATAGGAGAAATAGCTATCCTGAGGAAGGAGGAAAAGAGCTAACATTTGTCAAATGTCTACACTATGCCAGGCGCTCGTCTAGGTCTCTAACCTACTTCTTCTCGCCTACTCCCTCAGTGACCTTCCAGGGTGGGTATTACCTTTGCCACTCTTTTGTAAGCAGAATGAAGAGCGGCCTGGGTTGCAAAATCCCTCTCCTTCTTACCTGTGTCTTTCTTCTTGTCTCGGGAAAGTTCGTGCACCGTGGCACCGATCTCGTGTTTCAAGATCTTGATGATGCTGCCCAGAGCGGGCATGCTGCCTTTGTCCAGGTTGGTGAAGAATTCATACTCATCTTTCTTTAAACGTGAAGGTCTTGACTCAATGTGGGTCAGATTTATATCATTCTCCTAGAAAACAGAATTGGACATGTGAAGGGGGTCGTCATTGGCATTAACGCAGACCCAACACGCAAAAACAGAGCAAAACGCACAGCACACGAAACGCAGACAGATGAAAAATAGGATTTTTTTAAATTAGAGTAGAAGAAAGTCCTTAAAGCTGCAGTATTTTTTTTTTACTTTTTATTTTTATTGTTGACACTATTACAGATGTCTCCGATGCCTTGCCCCGGCTTTGCCCACCTCCACCCTACTTTTGTTTTCCAATCCCAGTAACAAATGGCAAGAGTTGGGGATACATTTCCAATGCCACAAAATTTAACCACATGGAAATCAGCCAAATGCCAGAGCCACAAGCGTGACATGTTGATCTGGTCCTAATGTCCAGGACAGAGTGTGCCAAAAGTATTTACACAGGAAAAAAAACCCTTTTCCAAGTGAAACACCACAGAACTGGAATAATAATATCTCAACAAATAAATACATAGAAGCAACAGATTTCTGCTTGAACAGGGTCCACAGGAGTCAAGCTTCCTGGATTTAAATCCAAGTTCTTAACTGTATGGGCGATGAGACCCGCAACCATTCACCTCCATGTTTCTAACCTTTGGCTTCCTCATCTCTAATTTGGTGATAGCAGTGACACCTGCTTCAGACATTTTTGGGGGACACTGAATGAAATGACACGTGTACACTGCCAGGTACATGGTAAGTGCTCAGTAAAAATCCCGTAGTATAATTACCGCTCATATGTTGGCATGATTCCTTTTTATTCAAATACGCAACCAACGTGGGCATAGCATCTACCAGGCACCGATGACTCTTCCAGGTGAGTGGGATGCATCAGTGAACAAAACAAAGATACTTCCCTTTACAAAAGCTCACATTCAAGCTGTCGGGAAATTAACAACAAGCGTAAAAGAGAACTAATTTATATATTATTGTATCATGATGAGCGCTAAGGGGGAAATACGAGGCGGAAGGGGGTAGGCAGTCCTGGGGTGCAGTGCGGGCAGATGGCAGCATTTCACAGGGTGGGCACACGAGGCCTCATCGAGAAGAGCAGAGTTGCGTCCTGACAGGGACGCCAGGTTACCCGCCGTGAGGACATGGACTAGGGGGAGAGGTGGTAGAGGAGGGAAGGCTAGAGACTTCGTGGCTGCTCTGGAGCTCTGTAAGCAAAGAAAGGTCACTTCTGAAACCAAACAAAGAATCTCCACTTTTGGCTCAGAAGGAAAGAGAGAGGCCGGCGAGGTCCACCTCCTAGTTACATAAGTTGAAACTTCAAAAGCAGAAGGAACCGATTTCTGCCTTGTGGAGGCCAGAGAATACAGCCAGGCCGAGGGCCAGGACTAAGCCAAACCTCTGGCAAACTCAGTGCTAAGGGGAGGGGGAGGGGAGGGGGGAGGCGGCAGAAGGGGGAGGAAGGGCTGGAAGGCCGACCATAGGCTGTTAGTGATCACCACCCACACTCCACCCCTGGGAACGGCACTTCTCCTGGGGAAAGCCACAAAACAATCTATACCCCTAAACTCAGTTTTTACTATTCGAGAGACCTATCTTCCAGGGAAACTTTTTAACCCAAATTTGCAAACTAAATTTCCACTGGGGAGGAATGGTTAGAGAGACTGTAGTATAATCACTCAGTGAAGATGACACCCCTATGAAAAAGCAACAACACCTTATGTAAGGTGTCATTGATAATTGCAAGGTATGTCAGCGGAAGTGGTCTCTAGATAATGGGCCCGGAGGTGATTTTGTTTCCTTCCTTCTTTTTTCATTTTTATCATGGTCCAACTTTTCTAAAACAACATTTATTGCTTTCATAATGAAAATTCACTTTATGTCTTACAGGGTTATAATGACAAGCCCTTGGGAAAATACTTGATGGATATAGGTATGTGATAATTAAAACATACTTTTAAAAATACGGCCAGGCAATCAATCAATCAATTAATTAATTGATTGATTAATTACAAAAAACTAGAATGAAATGCATCAAAAAGAGTTATGACAAGACTATGCATTATTTCCCAAAAGTTTTATTATGTTAGCCATATAGTGAAAAGAAAAAATTATCTTTTAAATGTGAGAGAAGTTTCTGGCTAAGAGCACACAGCCTAATTCTTTGAACTATTTCTTTCCCACTTGAATCAAACTGTTAGTAACTAACTCCCTAGTTTGGCATGTAATTTCTGGGTTGAAGTTTTTCCAGCTGATCAATATGGATACTTAGATCATTTTGGTTGCTAAGCACAGCTTTAGAAATGAACTTCCAAACCTGATTACGATCATAATTACTTTTTAGTAAATAACTTTTTATTTTTAATCAAGGGCTCTATACCGGTTTACGCATTGACCCCTACACACTGACCACCTCTTTGGGTGAGGGATAAAGAAAGGACTTTCTGTTACTCTACCTGGACATCTGGGTGGAGGTAAGAAACGGTTAGTGTCAAATATTTTAAAGACAATTTCATGATCTGTCCAATAGTTAATTTATACATACAAGAGAGCAGTGTACTACTCGACTAATCAGGACCCTGGAGCAGAAAGTGCGGGTCCCACAGAACAGCAAATTGACATGCATAGTTTATATTAATAGAGATTGACTAGAAACCCATTCTGTTCCCAACCTTGAGGAAAATCTTTCTAAGGGAAAACTGGTCACCAGTGGATAAAACTATGAAAACACAGAATTCACAAGGGTGAAAAAGATATCTGTGCTTCTGGACCTTTCCTTGCCCTCAAGCTCAGGGCCCCTTCCTCTCCTCCTCCCTTTCGTTTCTCGAGAAAGAGCGCAGAGAAAAGCGTGTGGGCTTCGGAACGATCCGAGTTCAAATTCTGGTTCGGCTGCTCACTACCTTCGAGTATGTTCGTTGGCCATGAGCTTTGGTTTATTCATGATTAAAATGAGGATGGTAATATTAACTGGCAGCTCAGTGAGAATCAGAAGGAGAGAAAGCACAACTTCATTCATGGATATTATTCAGTAAGAATGCATTGCAGCCTGTTTCTCTCAACTTGGTACAGATGCTCATTCCCCTGGGCATCCAAATACACTCAGTGTCATGAGTCATTTCACCATTTAATACTTGCTTTGCCCTTAACTTTTCTCAGCACCTTTCCTCAGAGCATGTTCCGAAAAGGAGAAGGAAAAGCTGAGCACATTTTCAGATGAGACGAGACTGAAAACAGAGAGCTCCTTGAACCACCCCACGCTGAAGCCTTAGCGTAAGCGTCAATGAAGCCATGTCCTTGCTTAGTTCGGAGGTAACGTGGAAGACATTCACAAAGAATGCCCCAAATCACTGGCCTCAAGCAAACCCCCAGCAGCTTTCAATAGCTCATCCAACCATGAACTTGTCATGTGTCAGACACTGTTCTAGCTCCTGGGATACAACAGGGAACGAAGCAGGAAAAGTCCCTGCCCTTCTGGAGTTTACATTCTCGAAAGAGGAGACAAACAATAACTACAAAAAAAAATAATGTCGTCTTTGGATGGGATGGAGAAGAATCAAGCGTGAAAGAGGGATTAGTTATTCCAGGGGTGCAACAGAGGTGTCGTTTAAACAGTGTGGTCAGGAAGGCCTCGAAAAATAAACAGGTGACACTTAAGCGCCAGCCAGGAGTCAGTGAGGGAGCAAGGCGTGGGCAGACAGTCCATGTGAGGGTTCTGGGGTAAGATGGTGCGCGATCTGGCTGAGAGCGGCGAGGGGGCCAGTGTGACTCGGGAGAGTGAACAGGAAGGAGGGCGGCGGAACACGAGGCAGAGAAGTAACTGGCAGTAGACCCTGCAAGCAATTGTTGGCCGTCATTACCTGGAGTTTGGTTTTCACTCCAACTGATAGGAAAAGCAAAGCTTGGTAATCAGGAAGAGGAGACACATCGTTTGACTCCTGTTTTAAAAGGAGCACTCGAGGCAGGGGCAGAAACAGTCTAGAGGCCACTGCAACGAGCGAGGGTGAGAAACGATAGTTGCAAAGATTGAAGTTACTTAGCCCAGACTTGAGACTGGGGCAGGCAGGGCTTCTGATACATTTCGTTGGTCTCTTCCTGTGAGAGGGCCCGCAATAGCCCTGAGTGACCCAGGGTCTGGACATTCAGCCCACTGGGATTACCAGGAAACCAACAGCATTCAGACGAGTATGAGCAGCACAGTTAAATTCTAGAGGGAGCTGAGACTGCCCGCCCCCATACACGTGCACACACACACACCACCTCGGGGGGCAGTTCTTGCGCCGGTTCGTGCTGGATTTTCAGTGGAACTCATACCCCGGAGACCATCTTTCAGGATTCCACTCTTGCTTCCCCTGCAAGTGTCTCTTGGAACCTTTTGGCCTTTCCTTCCCCAAGTCTTCTCCCTCTTTGTGGCATTATTTCTTCCCCACCTTCCCCTCCATGCAGTTGGAGTTGCATCCAACTCGGAGGAGACTCCTTCCTGGGGAGAGCTGAGGTAGCAGCTTCATCCAGGGTCTTCTCAAGGCTTTTGAGAAAAAGGGCTTTCTTTTCCTTTTATCCCCCTTCCTCCACCTTTTCTTGCCACCAGAGCAATAAGATCAAAAAGGCACAGTGGTCTGTTCCAGTCCAGGCTACTGAAGAATGATGACAACGTGTGTGTCAGCCACGGGCCACAGCCCGGTCTAAACGGTCTGACTTCATAACGAAAATTTTTAAAGTGAACTCCATGCGGCTATTTCTCAAGTGTGTCCAGCTCTGACCTGTTTGGTGGCTAAAAGCAATGCCAGCTTTCCATTTGAGGTTCTTCTCTCCGTGAAACAGGTCATCGGCCTTGAATAAAAGGTTTGGTGCAGCACCATTGGTAGGGACCAACAGCGGAAGCCGGCTCCGCACCCCCAACAGGGAACGAAGGAAGTATAGCCACAGGATGGAATGTGCGGCAGGACAAGAGCATCGACCCTGTGAACAGTTCTCAGAAACAACGTTCACCACCCTCTCCTCAAGAAAGAAAGCTGCAGAAGGAGAGTTTTTACACTTGTATGAAGATT